CCTATCCATAAGCTCTCCACCCTGACTCCTGGGAGGCACATCCTGCGATTTACCTCCTCCACAATGGCCCAGGACAGGGTCGGTGGGGGGCCCTCAAGGTTGGGGTTCAACCTTTTTTTTAAAAAAACTTGAATCAGTCGAATTGTCAATTGATTCCAATCAAAAACACGTGTTCTGAATACAAATGTAAAGACATCAAGTTTGGGCAAAAATCACTGCCCCCATACAATTAATTATTAGGCCAACTTTGAACTTGTCCTCAACTTGCCCAATTGCATGATTTGAAATCCAAATAGAGAGGCTATCAGGAAAAAAAGAACGGAAAAAAAAAAAAAAAGTTAACTTTTGTAAGCTGGTGGCTGGGTTGTGCAATTTGAAAAGTCTTTAGTTCAACAAGTACCAAAGATTCAGCCAAAGTTTGACACATGAACTAGTCAAACCATGGCTAAGGCAGATCAATAATTGAGTATGGGGTATAAAGATGGTTGGGGTCGCAACAACCTTGCCAGTAATCGACCCCACCCGAGTCTCACCGTGCAGATTTTAATGAAAAAGTACAATAGTGCACATAAGCCCCATGGCTCTATACAAAATGCAGAAAACAGTTGAGCACATTGCATATGACATGCAAATGCTCTTGATCAGCAAAGCACAGCTGTGTATAGATTTCAGCTTTCTAAGAACAAATTCTTGTACAAAGATACTAGTAAGATGCACGTGCAATGCATGTGCCATAGTATAGTTAGTTATATGATAACGTAGATATAAAAAAAAAATTTATTTGTATTAAGCATTAGTTACATTAAACACTTGAAATGATGATATGTGACAAANTGGCTATATGATAACGTAAATATAAAAAAAAAAAAATTATTTGTCTTAAGCATTAGTTACATTAAACTTAAAACACTTGAAATGATGATAGGTGACAAAAATAATATTAAGAGATTTGATTCAAAACTTATTTTCTAGACTTTGGGTTTGAAGGTCTCTCTCTTCTTTTTAAAAAAAGACGGGGCATAGATGATTAGGTTGTTGATGACCTGCTAAAGAGATAATGCAATTCAACCTAATCCTCTTTTTTCTACCTATTGAGGTAAAGCCTTATGTCCCCTTCATCTTGTGCTCATAGAACATCCAATTACATGTATCAGTTGCATCAATATTTAATTCTATGCAAGACGTATATAGTCAAAACTAATTAATTAATGATAAT